CATTTTGAAAAGTCCACCACAATTCGTTTATTATTCCCGTTGACGAGATATTTTACACTATACCGAATACCAACTTGTCAACGTAAATGGACGCATGGAGCGAGTTGTTAATTAGCAACACTGTAATATGCAAATTGTTTACGTGTGACGTGTTAATTTGGCGGCAAACAGAAACGTTGACGGAGGTAAAGAAACGCGGGACTTCGGGAGTTGGGGGTTGTGATGACGCTGACGTGGGTTTTGGATACAAGGTTCGGTTTCAAACGCGTGTCAAATTTGCTAATCCGCCGTTCGAGAGGGATTTAGCATTTCAAATCGGCATTTGATTGTAATACTCGTTATTACTTTCACGATCTGCCACTGAGAATGCAGAACATTTGCGTTTGGTTTCTAATAAGCCTCTGAACGACTGACAGGTCTCATCTACATGAAAGAATAAATGGGTTTCTTGTATGACAGTAACGTAAAACTGACAAGTTCTCTATATCTGTGCAGCTTAAGAGATTTGATAGTATGAAAGCAAAGCGCAACTTCATGGTTTGGGATAACAGTTTACTGCAAAGCTTCGTTTGATTGTGCGATTACAACTTTGAGTCCTGTTTCTGTTTCGGATAAACTGCTGTTTTACTTCTTGGCATTTCCATGGACAGGTAGCCATTTCGTCTGTCTCTACCACAATTTGAACAACTATTCCTTCTGCAACTATAAATTTTCGATTATTGTCATTTAGAAACACCTACTTAGCTCAATCAGGGTTGTAAACGTTTACTTTTGGAGAAATTGTTTCCGAACCGAAAGCTACTGAGTCTTCCTTGCTCATTTCCCAAATGCAACTCAATATTTAATAGTATCAAATGTAGAAGGGCTGCATTAAATCTGTTCAGAATAGCAAACACTTTAATAGGGATTTTTTTCTTGCCAAAAGGGTCACTAGGCGCCTGCATTTTTATAATTTATCTATTTTGGGTATAAAAATGTAAAAATCCAGTAGAACTTAATATGCACACCGATTATTAGGCAACCGAAAGTTTTTTTTTTCATTTTTAATTCAACGGCAAATTTCTTCGTTGAAATTTCGACAGATGTAAAGAATTACCGAACGCAGTTGTTTCTGGCGGATCCTTGTATTTGAAAATTGCAAACACACCACAATTTTCATCTAACATTTCTTTAAATTATAACGAAATGGGATAAAGCTTCAATCCGTAATAAAATGCGCTTTAATGTGTTACCGAGCTTTTTCCGCTGCAGTAATTAGAATGTTTTTTCCACGACCAAACAACTGAGCTCAAACCCTTCGTGATGTGAAGCGATATGAAAACGTTTCACGGTTGTTTTAAAGAGTAGCCCTTTATGATACCAAACATGTGTTAGCGCACCTATCAACAATGTCCTTGACTGAATACGGGACCTTTGTCACTCTACATAACCAATTTCTTATAATACTGATGTCCCTGAATTAAAAAATTGATTCTTGAATTTCCGCCAAGCTGGGAAATAATTTCGCATTTCTAATTTTTTTTCTTCACAGCCTGAAAACTTTGATGATTCTCAATGCTTAAAATTTTGAATCCTAAATCTAACTTCAGGATGAAATTTAGAAAAAAATTGAAAGCAAATTTACAGGTATGTACCGTTACGCCACTTGGCGACCGGTAAAGTGGGTGAAATCCGCTCATGAGGTTTTAAAAAAGTCCTTTGTCACTACTATATTTTATTTCCCTTCTAAAGTAATAAGACTCCAATGGCGATTACAAAAAAAAAAAATGGCCATTCACCGAGTTATCATCTATGGGAGTGAAATCATTTATGGGGGGGGGGGGGGAAAATTGGAAAAAAATGTTAGAAAAAAACACATGTTTCATTTTGCCCTGATCTCCACGATATTGGGGTTTTGAAAATTTGTTTGACGCCGGTATCATTTTAATTCCTTTTAAAAAGGAAACAAATATAACCTCTAGGATTACATACAAAAAAGTCCATTCACTGGAACACCAACTGATAATATGAAATCCGCCCACAAAGTTACAAAATTTTAGTCCGTTTAGGAAGCCTTGATTTATGTGCAGTACCAACACAAATTCTTTTGCAATGTGACAATAATCTCGAGTGAGCTACGATCTAATGGGTGGAATCGACCCATTAAATAAGATTCAAAAATTCCCTCTACATTTGGAATAAAAAGGAAACTACTTGAAATGGAGAAAACGTTGGCTGTTACAGTACCCCCTCCTGTTTTTCAAACATCCGAACAGTTAAATCGAAAAGCAAACTTTTAGTTTATAAAATACCGTCATAAAATATTAAACTTTAACAAAAAGCAAGGCGAAAGTAAAAATTTCAAATTCGAAAAAGAGAACCTAAAGGTGGGGCATGAGTTGTTTTCTAGTAATTTGTTCTCCTTCCTCTTTTTCCAGATTGAATTAATAAAATTCATTTCAATTTTCTTCTTCTTTATTGTAAATTTCGTTGTTGCTGAATCAACGGAGCTATACTGATCCAGATTTTACTCGTTTTTCTGACTTTCTTCTTCCCTATTCTGCCTCTGTGGGTACCTTTCTTTAGGATTTCCGGAGGATCTTTGGAATACTTTTTACCTTGTCCAATTCAGTAAGTTTTTAATCTATTACTCTTACCTGTTTTGTTATTTTATGTCCTTTTTTTAAATTTACAGTCCACTGTTACTTAAATCCCGCATGTTGCCGATTTAAGCTTTCAATCTTTGTTTAATGAATCATTTCATTCTTGCTTTTGGCTTCTTAATTCATCCCGTAATTGTTTTGCATTCTGTTCTTGATTTTTATAATCTGTTCTTGTCCTTTCATTTGTACTTGTCCTGCTTCTATATCTTGCAGCGCTTTCACTACAATTGCCATGTCCACTTTTGCATTTATGGTTTGACTTTCTTGATTGAAAATTATGTCACCACTAGTATTATCCATTTTATTCTTCTTGGTTATTGGAGGAGCTTTCTTAAAAGCGAACCTTAATTCCATTACTATAGTTGTAATAGTACTTTGGTTTTTGTTTCTTAAAATTGTTCTTCGTTACACCACTGGAATATATGAAATTGCATTGAGACTCTTGCTTTACAGGCGGTGATGATCCGAAGACCGCCGATTGGGTGACAATTTGCTATGGTTGCTCTTACAAAGGTTTGGTAATATTCTCAGGTTCGGGATGTGGCTCGATGCAATTTTATACGTTGGAAGCTACCTTTAGATCTTTTACTTCCCAGACGGACTCAGTTAAAAATGGGTTAAGAATAGGAAAGAAATCAATAGATTTCTCTTCCATTTATAATCTCATTAACGGTCAACAGCTCGTAATTCAAATTTGGAAAAATACTAACTCAAACTAAATTATAACCCTAACATTCCAGTGTATTTGGAGCATTTACGCAATTTACACATTGGCGTGTTTTTTTCTAACACGTATAGGATTTTAAACGTATAAACCAACCGAAACAAAGTAGCGCTTACGGCCTTAAACACATAAACTAATAATTTGTGACGTCGGGCATAAGCATAATTTGATTATGAGACTGAAACAATAAAAGCGAAAAATTTACGCTTCTGATGGCATGCCTAATAATTGTTTTACGGTGTTCTTATAGAATGGATATTTACTTGTAAAGGAAGCGCTCGAGGGGAGTTACAAACCTTTCAGTTTGAGGCATTTGTTAATTATATTCCGTGCAAACCCACTATCGGAATACTTCGTACAAGGTAAATTATTTGCAATTAACTTTAATTAATTGAATTAGAGAACAATATTTGTCTTTATAATCATAATATGAATATTGCTGTGGTCTGCTACTGGGTATAATTAATCTAGACGTTATCGCAATGTTCTTTCTGGGAATTAATTAAAAATTACGCGACTTGAAATTATGCGTCCGGATGTCAATTATTATTGGTCATTGAATTTAAGTTGCAAAAACATGCGAACTGCTAACGTGCATTTAGTTTAATTGGAGGGATTAAATTAGAAATCTCTTTTACTTGCTTCTCTTGTCATTAACTTCATTATAATTTTACTATTTCATAATTCATTGCTTTCAATGAACTCTATTAGGGCAATGCTAAAGATTAGCGGGTACCGATAAAGGGAATATGGTAATCTTCCACAAAATCTTATTGATGGTGGAGGCAAATCTCACACGAGGATTTTGATAATTTTTTTTGATAAACGCACATTCGCAAAACATCGATAATTACGATTCCATTAAATGTTGTTGGCACAATCGCTGACTCAAGTAATACTAAATTTTACACTGGAATTTCCCAGAAAAAATTGATGGAAAAATCTTAGTTATTCAATTGCACATCAAAAGAGATGACGCAATGACGCTGCTGGGCCCCCAACAATTCGTTATTCAGGAAATATCTATACATTTACTTTAATTCGTTTAACAAAGTTACAAACTAAGAGATGGTCGCCTAAAAGCTTTTACGTGCATTACATTTACAATTTAACTGAAAATAGAGATCCGAAGTAATTTAATGTAAACGAAGTAGGTACTACGCCGCCTACCGATTCCTAAAATAATAGAATAAACCTTCATTCCTCTAATCTTATTATTTCCTCTTAATATTCTCTTAATTAATATTATTTGAGCAACTTTTACCCGTCTCGTGTTTGATTAATCTCTCTTCCCAAATTAATTTTGTTGCGTACGGCTTGATATTCTTAAGTAACAGTAGGCAAATGAGGCACCGGCACGAAGTCGAAATTAAGGGTAATTTAAGTTAGTTGCGCTTGTTGATATTTATTGCTTCATTTTCAGTGCGAGAGATTAGACCTGAATCGTTGATGAACAAGTAAGGGATGGTACGTGTCATTTATGTACGTGTTCCGGACAGTAGAAGACCTAATTCACGAACTTTTAAATCGCGCCGAGGAATTTGTATGTGGATTTCACTGTTTGGATTTTTTATTTTAGATTGATGCACGCCAAATCGTTCATATTACGTTGGTAATTTTTGCAATTGTTTCAGATCTCAGCAGCTCAACAATGCCACAACAAATCATGCAGTTCTTGATGCGTTCCATCTTACTCCTTCTTGTGTTGGCGACAGTGTCAACGTCCGCCCGATCTACCACTCACTTTGGCGAAACGAACCAGGTAAATCGAAATTTGAAGCTATGTTCTCTTCGCTTCTCCAACATCTTCCTGGGAACAGCGTTCCTTCTTCCAAGGCATCTGTGTACAGTGAGTCCGTTTCACAATGACGCAGTATTCCTCTTCGTACCCCTTGTACCAAGGGTCTATTTTGTGCATAGATATTAGTGGTTCTTATAGAGTTTCAGCAGGTCTTTGATCGTTTGGCTAGAGGGTACCTCTAGTAGAGTCTTTGGCTAGAGATATTCTTTCAGTACGATTCCACATGCCGGTGTGGTCCCATAACCTGCTTGAAGGCACTTGTAAGAGCTTCCACAATGCGAAATTGACTTTTTAAAATTTTGTGACTCATTTATGTCAAATCTAGAGCTTTTTTACTCCCTGCGTAGGACTTACAGCCGCGATGCTAATGTCAAAAAGCTCTATATTACATTTATTAGCCTGAACGAATAAAAGAACAAATCCTTACAACCTCTCTAAAACCAACAACAAAAACTACTCCCCTAACTCAAAGAAAATGTCGCAAAATAATAGTTCGATCCACCATGAAAATTGACGCGCTTGTGGTTTTTTATACTAACGATAAGTCATTTACATACCTACCTTTCTTCATTGAAGATCGTTGCATTAAATAACTACTTTGCTCGCCAGTTTTTCTCATTATTTATTTATTATTTATTTATTTTCCCTCTCTTGTTCTGGGCCCTCATATGTTTACTGTCGTTTCAGATCAACCAAGAGCAAGATGGCTCATCGGGAGGACTAATAGACAGCGGACTAACGCCATTGCAGCTGGAAATGTTGGCCCAGAGATTATCCGAATATAATCAGATTCCACCAATACCGGCCGCCTGGGAACGTCTGGCCCGTAATCCGGAAGTGAAAAGACAAAGTCGCTACCGTCAATGCTACTTCAACCCAATCAGTTGCTTTAGGAAGTAAGAGAGTGGCGGATGAGGGCGAGAATGACATGCACTTAATGTTCGGCAGTATTCAGAGTTCTTCACAAAAATACTATACATCTGTTCCATTTCGTCGATATTTTTTTGTTGTGTATTAACAGTGTTGTAGCCAAATTTCTCGCTATACTTCAAGGAGTAAAATAAAATAAACTAACGTTACTTTGATTTTAACCCTCCTTTCCACCCAACCGCATTAGTTCACAAAAATGGCCCAAACTACCCTTGTAGATATGACTCTATTAAGAAGAATTAGATTCCTAAAAAGTCTTCCATATAGAAGAATTGTGCTATTAGATGTACAGTGACGTAAGAAGACGGAGAGGAAACTGGCACCAAAAACAACACGAGATGCTATTCTACTCTTAGATTAGCCCTTGGAAAACGTCTGCAGAAAGATTGAGCTACTAGATCAAAAGTTACAGCCCTTTGAATTTTCGTTCGAAATTGGTTTCTAGTCCATAACTTGATTGAGAAGCCTAATCGAAAAAGTACGAATCGTTTTGGATTCTAGGCACCAAAATTAATAAGAAAAAGTGTTCTCCCGAAAATTTTTGGTGTAGTCCATTTTTGTTAAAAAATGAAGGTTATACACTGCCTTTTTTTGAGGCGGGAAGAAAAATTGTCTCAGATCGACCGGGAGAAAACATTTTCTTATAGAATGTGGCCTGTAGAAACCGTAATTTCAAACAGTTCCAAGATTGGGCTACTAGATCAAAAGTTACAGCCCTTTTAATTTTCTTTCGAAATTGGTTTCTAGTCCATAACTTTTGATTGAGAAATCTAGTCGAAAAAGTACGAATTGTTTTGGATTCTACGCACCAAAATTAATAAGAAAAAGTGTTTTCCCGAGAAATTTTGGTGTAGTCGATGTTTGGTAAAAAAGGAAGGTTATACACTGACTTTTTTTAAGGCCGGAAAAAAAACTGTCTGAGATCGACCGGGAGAAAACATTTTCTTATAGAATGTGGATTGTAGATTCCATAATTTTAAACAGTTCCAAGATTGGGCTACTAGATCAAAAGTTACAGCCCTTTGAATTTTCTTTCGAAATTGGTTTCTATAGTCCATAACTTTTGATTGAGAAGTCTAATCGAAAAAGTACGAATCGTTTTGGATTCTACGCACCAAAATTAATAAGAAAAAGTGTTCTCCCGAAAATTTTTGGTGTAGTCGATTTTTGGTAAAAAAGGAAGGTTATACACTGCCTTTTTTTGATGCCGGAAAAAAAATTGTCTCAGATCGACCGGGAGAACACATTTTCTTATAGAATGTGGCCTGTAGAAACCGTAATTTTAAGCAGTTCCAAGATTGGGCTACTAGATCAAAAGTTTCAGCCCTTTGAATTTTCTTTCGAAATTGGTTTCTATAGTCCATAAGTTTAGATTGAGAAGTCTAATCGAAAAAGTACGAAACGTTTTGGATTCTACGCATCAAGATTAATAAGAAAAAGTGTTTTCCCGAGGAATTTCTGTGACAGTGGGTGCAGTGCAGACAGACGCTGCACGAGCCCAATTTCTTCGCCAGTCAATTTTTGGTAAAAAAGGCCGGAAGAAAAAATGTCTCAGATCGACCGGGAAAAAAAATTTTCTTATAGAATGTGGATTGTAGATTCCATAATTTCAAAAAGTTCCAAGATTGGGCTACTGGATCAAAAGTTACAGCCCTTTGAATTTTCGTTCGAAATTGGTTTCTAGTCCAAAACTTGATTGAGAAGCCTAATCGAAAAAGTACGAATCGTTTTGGATTCTAGGCACCAAAATTAATAAGAAAAAGTGTTCTCCCGAAAATTTTTGGTGTAGTCCATTTTTGTTAAAAAATGAAGGTTATACACTGCCTTTTTTTGAGGCGGGAAGAAAAATTGTCTCAGATCGACCGGGAGAAAAAATTTTCTTATAGAATGTGGCCTGTAGAAACCGTAATTTCAAACAGTTCCAAGATTGGGCTACTAGATCAAAAGTTACAGCCCTTTTAATTTTCTTTCGAAATTGGTTTCTAGTCCATAACTTTTGATTGAGAAATCTAGTCGAAAAAGTACGAATTGTTTTGGATTCTACGCACCAAAATTAATAAGAAAAAGTGTTTTCCCGAGAAATTTTGGTGTAGTCGATGTTTGGTAAAAAAGGAAGGTTATACACTGACTTTTTTTAAGGCCGGAAAAAAAATTGTCTGAGATCGACCGGGAGAAAACATTTTCTTATAGAATGTGGATTGTAGATTCCATAATTTTAAACAGTTCCAAGATTGGGCTACTAGTTCAAAAGTTACAGCCCTTTGAATTTTCTTTCGAAATTGGTTTCTAGTCCATAACTTTTGATTGAGAAGTCTAATCGAAAAAGTACGAATTGTTTTGGATTCTACGCACCAAAATTAATAAGAAAAAGTGTTCTCCCGAAAATTTTTGGTGTAGTCGATTTTTGGTAAAAAAGGAAGGTTATACACTGCCTTTTTTTGATGCCGGAAAAAAAATTGTCTCAGATCGACCGGGAGAAAACATTTTCTTATAGAATGTGGCCTGTAGAAACCGTAATTTTAAGCAGTTCCAAGATTGGGCTACTAGATCAAAAGTTTCAGCCCTTTGAATTTTCTTTCGAACTTGGTTTCTAGTCCATAACTTTTGATTGAGAAGTCTAATCGAAAAAGTACGAAACGTTTTGGATTCTACGCATCAAGATTAATAAGAAAAAGTGTTTTCCCGAGAAATTTTGGTGTAGTCGATTTTTGGCAAAAAATAAAGGTTGTACACTGCCTTTTTTTGAGGCCGCAAAAAAAAATTGTCTGAGATCGACCGAGAAAAAACATTTTCTTATAGAATGTGGCCTGTAGAAACCGTAATTTCAAACAGTTCCAAGATTGGGCTACTAAATCAAAAGTTACAGCCCTTGAATTTTTTTTCGATATTGGTTTTTTGCCTATAACTTTTGATTCAGGGGTCAAAATGGCAAATGCGTGTAGTGATCATGTGACTCTTCTGTAGTAGCAGAGACATAATTATGTGGGATAAGTTTCCAACAAACTTGAGATTGCGAAAAAGGTTCCAGGACATTCCGAAACAAGAGTGGGGATAATGTGTAATTGTTTCCACTAAAATTGAACGTACATTGGCCCATATGAATAAAAGGAAGCAAATGCTTATACTTGCAAAATTCAAAGTAAATACTCGTAATTGCTCCTTCACACTGGGCGATTTAGCAGCGCTTCTGAGCAGCAGGACAGGACGCAGTGCAGCGCTGCTAAACCATGCTAAACAGACCAGTATGAAGGGGCAGTTACGAGTATTTACTTTCAATTTTGTAAGTATAAGCATTTGCTTCCTTTTATTCATACGGCCCATTGACGTCTATATTGGACGGTTTTGTATAAACGAAAATACAGTCTGCCTTGAAACAAGGTAACAGCAAAATATTCGTCGTGAATTTTAATACATTAATATAATAATAAAGGTACATAAATATTTTATTGTGTGCAAAAAACACAACCAAACAACTTGAGCAATTTCATCATATTAATAATAATAATAATAATAAACAATCACTAATTACATTAAATATTATAAAATATATTTACATCCTAATATATAAAATAACAATATATTATAATTACAAACCTACAATCGATTACATGATCAGGAACAACTCTCAATTCTCCTCATCCATAAGTACGCACGCCATTTCTGCAAAGTCTTTGTACTAAATTTACGAGGGCGTAACGTTAAGTAGAATAATTGCTCAATGGTGCCCAAAGAGTGGCAGTGTTCGTGGAATTATTGCACTGACGATGAGTGTTCTGGATCGTTGCATCACGATGTTCCCCCCGAATCGGATGTATTCCCGGTCGTGTGCCCCAATTCGGGTGAGCCCGAGGAATTTCTGTGACAGTGGGTGCAGTGCAGACAGACGCTGCACGAGCCCAATTTCTTCGCCAGCACCGACTTCAATTTCAATGCCGGTCCCAATTTCATGCTCATGGTCGACGTTAAATGCTCCTCGGTCAGTAACGGTAAACCGGAACCGTCGATCCGCTGCTCTCGAAAATTCTGAAAACCAAATTACACGCGAATTAGTGACAATCCACTGATCAGCTCCGTTACTTAACTAATTATCACGCAGTCTTAAAAAGATCGGTCGACATTATTATAAGAAAGAAAAAACACGGATTATAATGGGCGAGATCGCAATCAGGATACCTAGTTGTAAACGAAGGGTTATTACGAGCAGGAACTTAAAGTAGCTCGTGTTTATAGAGAGGCACGGGTCGCTAATGATTAGCGTGCTCAAGTTGCACGCATCATTCTCTTACACGCCACTGCTTCCAGCTTAATAAAAAAAATTACCATTACGTTGTGTAAGCCGTACAAAATAACAATTGAATTAGAGAACAGGGACATTAACAGAAGAAAGTCGTGTAATTGACGCAACGCGTATTTAATTGCACTATGCGTTATTCTCAAGGTGCAGTGGTAGTCGCCAAGGTACCACGAACGAATTAACAAGGTTCTTTAGGTTTAAATAGGCAATTGCGAAATTCTTCATCACCTTCTTTAGTGTCTTCAATGGTCGACGCAAAAGAGTGATGTTTTAATGCTAATTCATGATGAATGGTACACTCGGGTAATGAAAATAGATCTCTTCCCATTGCCTATTAATAAATATTGGGTTAAAATTGTGAAGACTGCATACTCAGAAATACGGTTTGTAGTTAATAAAGTATACAAATTTGGCTACCCTTCTAGTGTAGTCGCAAGAACAAACGACTCATTACACCCGGTATAACAGATGCTTTAATTTGAGACGAACAATTAATAATATAATAGTTAGTGACCCGATTTTGTTTTGTATCCTAATTATTAGTTGTTAATTTTGTTTAAATAATTACCTTGTTTATTTAAATGAAAAAGAATTACGTGTTATAAGATTAGATTTAAACATCTGGAAATTATTTGCGTAGTATTTGTAAAAGTTTATCTCATGTTTTTCTCCGGTCGTAGATAAGAAGTGTTCTTATCGCTGCGTACGCTAAATTACATTTCAAGATCAGGACGTGTTATTGCACTACTGAATACAGGTGCTGTTCTATCTGTCGAAAACGCGCATTATTTTCTTAATGAAGGAGGAACTGAACTAAACAGAGGAAAATAGTTTTGAATACGCGAACCGGTAATTAAACGGTCGGAGATTTTGGAGTATTGACACTTTGATTAAATTTTTATCGAGCGCTCGTTTCGTGTTATGTGTTATTCTGGCCCTGTGTGCCTGTTTTTCTTTTAACCTGATTGTTTTATGTCAAATGATTGGTTTTGTGATTAATCGAGCCCAAAAGTACGACTTAGAAAAGTGTGTTCATGTTAAATTTTTCCATTTTGTATTCGGAATTACATCAGATATCGAGATTTTGGTGGTGAGCTTAATTCAGTTAGCTGGGCAGATGTTTTGTGGGTGCCTTAGTCGCCATTTGCCATTACACATAGCAAAACTTTACAGCACTTCCTTTTAAACCTTTATTTCATACCATTGAATACAATTGAGGGAGTTCCAAAAGTCTCCCTATTGGAATGTTACAATACTCTTCGAAATTCACTAATTGGCAGGATGAAAAATTAAGAAAAAACTCCTCACTTTCAAAGGACACTTAAAAAAATGTGAAAAAATTTTGAAAACGCTTAGAGGAAGCTGAACGATGAATTACGTACATCGCACTTCATATGAGATTGTAATGATGGGAAATGTTAATCATCAGTTCATAATTAAAACTCCTGCATGAATTCCTGAATTAATTTAAATTTCCACTACGAGAGGGCGGTAGCTTTGGCGCATGGATGCAGGAATAAAAGTTGTCACCGGTTTTCCCACCATTTACTCACAGTTCTTTCTAAAATGATATATACACCAGAAAACAACCAGAAAGGGAATCTTTTGCGGCAGTGAAAGCCATCCTGACTTCCTGACTTGACACCCGATCTTAGCAAAACCTTGTGCGATCGTATGAACGCGCTGGATTGGCTCCTGATAGCGGTCCCATTATTACTAATTCATCACTTGTACGATCGGAAGAACGAGCTCGTGGTGTGCCAGATTCCTGTCGATTATTCACAACCTTCTCTTGCACGAAACTGGTGACAACTTTTATTCCTGATTCCATGCTTCAAAGCTACCGCCCTCTCTTAGTGGAAATACCAGTTGATTCAGGAATTCCTGCAGGAGTTTTAATTAAGAATTAATGATAAAAATGTCACATCATTACAAGATAGAGCGGAAGGCATTGAGAGATTTGAGAACCCGACAACCCTTACAAAGAAAGCTTCAGAGGAACTAAGAGACGCTTCAAACAAAATAAGGGCACATTTTGAGGGGAGGAATTAGAGGGAATTCTTAAAAAGGACTTGAGAATAATATGAAAAGGGTTTCGAACGAACTTAAGAGATATTTAAGAAGACAGAGGAAGTTGAAAAGAAATGTAGCGAGCCTTGAAGAGAACTTTGTAGAATTTGGGACAAATTTGTATGGAAACTTGAAAGCATTGAAACGAACCATAGAAAAATGTAATAGACACTTTAAGAGGGGCCAATGTAGATTGGTTTGTTAGAACTTCAGTATTAATTTTCTTGTTTTTTTTCAAAATTAAAAGGTGAAGGATGTCGTCCTTCCACCTTCACCTGCAAAAGAAAGTAGAAAATTTCCTCGATTGATTGCGGTCGAATTTAGGCCAACCCGTGATTGTAATCGTCGATATAATGAACAATTAATTCTTTAATTATTCGCACTCGTAGTAAGTACCTTTCATTTTCTTCGCCGATTTGGGCACGATTTATAAGTGTGGGGGGGGGGAGGGGGCGGGAGAAAATTAATTAACGTGTACAGTTACGCGGTCACTGGAAAGAAGATCGATTCGAACGGGACGTTTCGTGCATTAAAAACGTTTCGGTTCCATCGGGTACCTTGTATTTACATAAATCACGTACACTACTCTAGTGGTAAATGTGGAATACGTGCGCGATCGTTTTGAATCGAATGCTAACAGATTTCAGGGTGGACGATCATGTCAGAATGCGTGAAAATTGCATCGAGATGTGTTTGTTCTGAACGTTGCAATTTTAATCCAAGCACTAAGAACAGTTGTAGCTACATTCAGCTTGCTGACCCATCGATTAATTAATAACACCTTACTATACGTTTATACTTAAATGCATTCGATTACGAGCAAACACAATAAGCTTTGCTTATCAACTAACCATTCACTCTACCCGAATGTGGAATAATGAGAAAATTGCTCTGAACCCGATATCAAAAGGTATGGCACATTATGTAGCCCAAAATAATCATTCATATACAGATTTCTTTGACGAAACGAGAGTTAATGGACCTCCAGTTTTTCACTTTTTGTTTCGCTTTCACTAACCATCGGTTGTCATCTCGGTTGTCATAGTACGCGTTCAGCTCCACGAAAGAACTAGACAGCCGGAAAAATTCCAGCGGGACCTTTCTCTCAGGCGCCGATGTCAAATTGTCCTTGTCGACGCGCCGCATGCACGTACGGCAGCAAACTAGAACACGCTGCACCCTCATTGGTTCAAACGGTCAACCGATGAGAGCGTAGCGTCCCTGGCTGTAAACGTTTAAAAGCAGAGCTCCGAACTCTGCAACCTGCTATGACGTCGCTTCAAGAAACAACCAGTTCTCCGCCTGCAGAAGCAGTTCGCCTTGCCAGCTCGACCTCGCGCCAAGCTCCACTAACCAGAAGATCCGCATCCGACATGAAGCTTTGGTGTCGCCAGTGTCTCGATTGTCAACGCTCAATCATCGCCACACCGTATCACCTCCAGGACACTTCCAATCGGAATCTTCTCCACATTTCAATCACGTACAGATGGATTTGGTCGGTCCTCTTCCTACAAGCGTAAGATACACGTACCACCACGCTGTCCCATAAATGACCTCCGCCGAGTCCGTCGCAATACATTTCTTAAGCGGATGGATTGCAAGATTCGGAATTCGGGAACAGATTTGAACCGACAGTGACCGACAATTTGAGTCTGTTCTCTTCGTAGAGGTATCATCCTGCTGGGTCTTCGCTCAACTCCCGCAGATGATTCTGACTCTGCACTCGCATCTCTTGTGTACGGTGCAACACTCCGCCTGCCGGGAGAATTATATATTATAATAATATTATATATTATATAACGACAAAGTATCTTTCGATCGTCTAAAATCGTGAAATCCAGCAGTCCTCTTCGCCCCAGCTATCAGTCGTGCCGAGGAAACTGCATCTTCCAAACAATCCCCACTCTTCGGATGAACAAACAAGATCCGGACCGCACGTGAATTTTCCCAAAAAGCTTGCCAACGTCCATGCCGCTGAGGAGCAGGGGAGTAATATGGTGACGCGTCGCATCAACTTCCGGCAGCAAACTAAAACGTGCTGCACCCTCATTGGCCAAAAAGACCAAGTGATGAGAGTGTCGCTTCCCTGGTCGAAAACGTTTAAAATCAGAGCCCCGAACTGTGCTGCGATGGCGCTTCAAGAAACAACCAGCTTTCCGCCTGCAGAACTAGTTCAACTCGCCAGCATTTCAAGTGAAACCGAATGTGACCAGAAACTGAAAAATATGCGAACAATCTCCTCATTCGATACCATTTATCTATGCCAAATTTCATTTTGATACGCCTAGAAGTGACTGGCCTAATCAATTCGTTGACACCTGGTATAACTATACTATGTAACTTTCGTTAAATAAAACAATGGCTTAGAATGTTTCGGTTGGAATTCTTTCTTTTCTTTTGTCAATAACAAAAAAGGCATTATGTAATAACGTTTCATAAAATGTATACAGGGTGTTCAGGAATTCGTGTTAATGTTCATAGTTTTGAGAATACGGAACACCCTCCGCAATACTACACAGAAAATGAGGACTATTTTTAGCGCATTTTTTAAGAATTAAAAAAATGTGCTATTGTTTGCATTTTGTCCGTTCGTCCATCCGTCCGGACCCACTTCTGGCGTTTGGAACTATTTCTAGGGGAATGGTCCTAGAGTCCTGGA